TTCTTACAGAAAGTAAATCCAAAAAGAAGTTTTGTTTTTTTGGCTTTCTTTCTGTGAAAAAAAAAAACCCGAAAAAGTCGAAAATTTCGTTTCGATGATAAATTGGTATTTGCGCACATACCAGGATATCAGCGCTTTAGTTTTGTTCTGTGTTATCTCTTATGGTACTTCCTAGATGTCTCCGTTCTTCATAGAAAGCCAACACGGAGAATGTTTTGAGTATGTTTTATTAAACAAGGGGGCAATTTTACCGCATTTCGGCTCAACACGAGGGCAATTTTACCTCATTCCGGCACAACACAAGGGCAATTTTACCTCATTCCGGCTCAACCCAAGGACAATTTTACCTCATTCCGGCTCAACACAAGGGTAATTTCACCTCATTTCGGCTGAACACGAGGGCAATTTTACCTCATTCCGGCTAAATATGAGGGCAATTTTACCTCATTCCGGTTCAGCATGAGGGCAATTTTACCTCATCCCGGCTCAACTCAAGAGCAATTTTACCTCATTCCGGTTCAATATGAGGGCAATTTTACCTCATTCTGGTTCGACATGAAGGCAATTTTACCTCATTCTGCTCATCATAAATAGCATGTTCACCGCAAAACTTCTGGCCACTTTTCACCAGCATACGACATTTTCGATTCTTTTTCTTCAGCACATACGAACATCTTTCCATAGATTACCTATAAAATGCAGTTACTTAATTTAAGACAAAAAAAAATATTTGATAAATATTCTTAACTGAGATTAATTCAAGTTATGCCTTCCCCCTCTCTTCCCACTTATTCAAGTTTATAGAGCGCAAGGGTACCTCAGTATGGTCTGGCATGATAATTTGTTGCCCAATACATACACAAAAGGAGGTGATCCTCAAAGTTATCATTATCAACAATTCCATATTTTCAGGATTCAACTATCCGGACAAATACAGACACATGCACATACAGACACATATATGCACATACGCACATACATACACACACTTAGTAAATAAATACACACATATATACAAACAAATACATAGATATAGACATACATACATGCATATATACATACATACATACATACGTACATACATACATATACGTACACACATATACGTACATATACGCACATACATACATGCATAAATACATAAACACATACATACATAATACATATACATGTATGCACACAACATACATGCACATGCGCACACATATATATATATATATATATATATATATATGTATACAAACACATACATACGCACATACATACATACATACAAACATACATACATACATACACTACATATACACATACACACAAGTACACACATACTTAAACAGTACTCTATGAAAAATATGTAAATTTTTATATACTGCAAGAGTAAATTTTTCCTAATGTACACTTTTCATATATGCAAATTTGCCGGAAAAACGTGGAACTGCAATGAAGAAGAAATTTACGAGAGAGGAAAAAATCACGAAATTTGCATGTGCAGATTCCCGACTACCACGAATCTTTCTTGAAATTACACGACCCAATTAATCGGTGATTCTTCGCCAGAACTGCAAGGAAGTCGCTACCGGTATTTTCTTTTTTCTGTATTTTCTTCAATGCGTTTCATAAAATTTTGCAAGTGCGCGAAAATGCATCCCAGTGCGGTCAGTTTGCTGGCGATCCTAACATTCGTTTCGTCTCGTGAAAACGATTATGAACTCTCAGTGGAGAAATCGGGCGAGAAATCAATGCCTTTTAGCTGGCTAAATCATTCAAAATTGATTATTTGTAGCGGCAGGATAGAGGAGAGGAACAAGGGTGCTAGTGAGGGAAGTTCAAAAAACGATTATTGGTGAGATGATTACTTATGTACAAAAAATTAACTTATGAAGCAAGTCGTCAACGGAGTAAATGCATCCAAGTAATTAACGTTTGTCTCCCCGCTGCGATCGAAAACTTGGATGAGACTCGTGATATTCACGTAATACCGAAAGTCTCATCCTTTACTGTCCGAGCAACTGGGGTCAACCGAAAGTTTCAACTTTCTAGCTTTTCTCGTTCTTGAATTAGCAATTTTCCCGCTAAAACTTTCACGTGTCCACATATATTTAATGAGGGGGAGGGGTGAATCTAAGGAGTTGAATTTGAAATCTTTTGACCGCAAATGAGTAGTGAACATTCCCCTAAAGTTTCAGACAATGAATTACAGATGGCCCAAAGCTCATTTCTAGTTTCGGGTCATCTGTAATACACTCTTTGAATTCCTACGCTGGCACAGTACAAAAGCCTAAGACAGTTTTATTCAGAGTCAAGCCCCAAATTCCCCCCGTATTCGCTGTCCATGAGTGGCAGATGCACTCGAAAAGTAGCACGAGTAGGGTAGCAAGTGCCAACAGCAACCGCTCGCTGGTAAAACTCTTAATGACTCGCTCTTTTGTGGGTTGCTTAGAACCAAGCTGATGGCAAGTTTGACTCCCTGGCGTGTACACTAGTATCAATTTATCACCAAAATGGACGAAAGATGGCGGGTTTGATTCCCTGGCATGTACTAGTACCAATTTATCATCAAAACGAACAAAAAAATAAAAATAAAAAAAAGACTGCTTGTCTCAACAGTGGAATCGAACCCTTGAACTATTGCATGACAACAGTACAATTTCCGGTTTTGTTAAGGAAACGAAAAAGAGTATGAATATTCGAAACACGGATGCAATCCAGGAAAATGAGCTCAAGCAAGCCGAGGACGAAGAGTTAAGCCTTGAGAAGTCTTGCACCGCGCAATTCCAGGCCCTTGATGCGACAACTTTGGGCAGATTGGCATCCATTCGACAAATTGTTGGGAATGAATGTTTCCAGAAAGCACTTTGTCGATGGGTCCTGGTTAGTTCCAGAATTATTCTTCTTTTATTTCGACTTTGGAAATTACTTCTTTTGCGGAATTATTTCGACATTATTTTGACACAAAGGCTACTTGTCTGTAAATTAGAAAAAATTGGCCAACGCACAGGCTGCCCGTGCGAGGATGTTTTTTGCATAGCTTCCCGCAGATTTGTGTTTTTCAGGCAGATGCTTCTGCTAAAACAATTTCAGAC